CAAACCACTGACTTGTAAAGAATTAGCAAATATTTCAAACTCAATGAACAAAAATACTAAAATACATAACAGAGAAAAATGAAATGACCAGAAAGGACTGCTTCAAATGAACTGATGTAATCAACTGCTGCCAGAGAGCATTGCTGCAAAGTTAGCTAACCAGTGCAATCAAATGCTTTCTACTGCAACATGCCAGCTTAAGAGGAGGTGTTGCTGCAATGGCTCAGTGAGGTCAGCTGCTAAAATGTCACCATGTGAGTTTTGGGAGGGATTGCTGCAAAGTTTGCTGCTAAGTCAGTCAATTGTTGCAAAATCAAATGTTTTCTTAGATCAGAAACTAGTTTTATTGATGATCATAAACTAAATTTGACTGCATTGTTTTATAGAACTAAATTAGAATATGTATATGGATTTGATTTTGACTCTACCTTCATGTTGAAGTGGACTGATTGGTTTCTCTGTGGATCTGATTGAACTGACTGTTTTTATAACAGCATCCTGTTTCCATCTGTATTAAAATGCAACTTAAAAATCAAAACTGCAGCTGAATCATTTTATTTGAACCAGTTACAGAATCAGTTACTTTAACTGATTTCTGTCTTTAACAGATTTAGAAAACTGACTTTATCTGTGAGTTTGTTCTACAGCTGGTTACTGGTTGCACTGGTTTGGCACTGGAGGAAGGGCAGCATGCAAGCAGCAAAAAAGAGCAAAATAACAGAAAAAATGAAAGATCAGGAAATGAGCAAAGGATTAAAAACAACAGCAGGTAGAAAAACCACAAAGCTTTTATTTAAAGCCAAATCTCTTCAAAATAAAGTCAAACTGCTGCTGAACCAGCTTCCCTCCAGGAAACCATCCACACAGAAAAGTAACAGATAAAAAACACAGAAAATGTTTTTAAAGTAAATTAATTAGTTAATTAATATACTAGAAAGTATTAAAAGAAAACAGAAATATATTTGAGCAAGAAGGAATTTCATGTTATTGATGATGAGATGATTTTTGATGTTCAAACTAAACATCAGTTGTTTCTGGTTGATTCTAGTTTCTTCTAGGGTAAAAATACCAAACATAAAATATATAAAATACATAAAATATGCTAAATATACGCAGTAGGAGGTAATGATGTCCTTCACTGATTTATCAGACAAGTGAAAACATGAAAGAAGAAAAGTTTGTTTAGATTTGCTAACCGAGCTCAGAGAAGAGGATAACTACTGGAAATGAGATTTAAAATGATAATTATCATGTTGTCTGGAAACAAAGAATCAGTTCAGTTCAATTCCTGAACTGATTCTTTATCTGAAAAGCCATTAATGAAGCTAACATGGCTGCTCTCCTGTAGAGGTCAGTGTCACAGTGGTTCTGGAGAAGCTTCTGACTAAAGATGAAATGATTGGACATAAACTTCTCTCTGTTCTAGTGCAGCTTCCATTCAGCCCTAAACACCTGTGAGTTTGACCTTTCACCTCTGGTTCACCTGCCTGAGCTGCAGCAGAATCACCTTCATTTCTGTCATGAATCACTTTGAAATCTGTCCACCGCCTCAGAGCTGAGCTGCTTCAGGTCCCTTTGAGCTTATTCAGGGTTTTTACTTTACAAAGACATTTTGTCAACTTTAGTTTCTATTTTTCTTCTTTTATTTCCAGTTTTGGGAAGAAAATAATCTGAAGAAACAGATTATTTCTGTCGTCCACAAATGAATCATGTTTCATAAACCCTGCTTGGCTTTCAAAGCTTTTCTCCATTTTATTAAAGGGAAATATGTAAAAGTTGCTTCTGTACAGATTTTTTTAGAATTATATTTATGAAAAACTTTTATCATTTTGTAAAGAAAATTTAGACATAATTTAGTATTAAATTGAGTATAAACATAGTATTAAAACATACTATGTATAAAACATTGTATGTTTTATTCATTATGTGTCTGAAAGTTTTATTTATGTATTTATTCTTTTATTTCACAGGATTTGATTGTCGAAATTTTGCTGAGATTGCACCTGAACATCAAAGAGGTTAGTAAATTTATGATTTAAACGTTTTTCTTTGAAAACATTTAATAATTTGCCTTTATTTGGGTTTATTGTCAGGAAAAAATGACATTTCGTAAGAATAAAACTTACCCAACACTTCCTGTAACCCAGACAGACTCCAGACGTTTGACTGGATGTGAATCAAAGACAAAAAATAGAAACCAGACAGAAACCAAACGGCCTATTTAAAGTTTAGCATCACTGACTGTGTGTGGTTGCTGACCTCTGACCTCTGCCCTCCAGTGGCTGTGTGTGGTTGCTGACCTCTGACCTCTGCCCTCCAGTGGCTGTGTGTGGTTGCTGACCTCTGACCTCTGCCCTCCAGTGGCTGTGTGTGGTTGCTGACCTCTGACCTCTGCCCTCCAGGCGTCCTGTGGCTGTGTGTGGTTGCAGAGAGCCTGTACCTGGCTCTGCTCTTCGTGGGCGGGGTTCTGATGATTCTGGAGCAGAGCTGCTGCTTCAGCGTCATGAACAAGCTGAAACTCAGTGCCTTCGCCGCCATGTGCACCGCCCTCTCAGGTAACAGCACAACTACGGAGCTACATCAGGCTCAAAAACATCCACAGGGCCTAAACAGAGACATTAGTACGTGTGCGACATAATATACAAATGTGTCTAATGATGCATAAATGAACATTCACATTTGTTAAACAGTTTCTCAAATTGCCACGTTTCAGACTGAACAGGTAGAGACACGGACGGATCAGCCGACTAAACCTTCAGCATCAGAGACTTTCTAACTGAACAGGATTCACAGATGAGATGCTGAACGTGTCTCTGACTTAGTGCAGCTCAGGTTTACCGATGTGTACGCGCAGCGTGTTTCTATCGGTGTGTTTGAAACGTGGCAAATGTGAAAGTTCAGGTACGCATTTATGCATTATTATGCACATTATGTTGTATGCTTTGTGGATGTTTTTGAGGCTAATGTAGCTCCATACAAAACAAGCTATGAAGAAATGGGGAACAGGTTGAGCCTCAGGAATGACCTTTCACCCTTTCATTGACTCCTCTCACATCCTTCATGTGTACGCTGTGTGTTTTGGGGTTCAGCTGATAAAATGTGCTGACTTTTGCCCCAGTGTGTGTGGTGGCCCATCAGCCACACACACTGGGGCAGCAGCAGCAGCGGCGGCGGCTGCAGCGGGGCAGCAGGTCAGCCAGGCTGAATGCGCCGGACGCTGCAGTCAAGCATCAGAGCAGCTGACTGATCTGCGGCCACTCGCTGCCTCGGAGGATTTGCTGGTTTGTGGAGTAATCCGATTGGAACCGGGGCAACGGTTTGGGCTGTTCCCAGATCCACCCAGAGGTCCTCCTCCCCCTCCCCTCCCCCCTGTTGTTCTTTGTTAATCCCAGGAAAAGCTGCTGCAGACATACTGAGTCAGAACGAGCCGGCTGCGTTCACCTCGCTGCTCTGGTTTGGGTAAAAGTTACAAAAATAAATGAAATGTAGTTTTAATCCGTCTGTAAAAGTGTCGGCTGTTTCTCCTTCCTTCATGCTCGACCCTAATAGATGCTCAAACCAACCTGAGACTCTAGAAATGAGATTTTAAAAAGTGTCGAAACACTGTAAATGGTCTTGAAAAGTCACTGGAGCGTTTTGACGTCTGCTCTGCTCAGGCCTTTGTGGGATGGTCGCCCACATGATGTTCACCACCATATTCCATCTTTCCGTCTCTATGGGACCTGAAGACTGGAGGCCCAAGACTTGGGACTACAGCTGGTCTTATGCGTAAGAACTTCCTCAATGTCTCAACAGAATCTAGTTTCATAAAGAGAGAAACGAGTTGAGATTCAGTTATTATTCAATCCATAACTGAACTTCATAAGAACTGAAAAGCTGCTCTGATTTATCCTGAATGACTGTATTGTCTCTTTTTGTGGCTCTTTGCAGCTTAGCCTGGTGTTCGTTCGGCACCTGCATGGGCTCTGCAGTCACAACCCTGAACAGATACACCAAGACCATCATAGAGTTTAAATACAAGCGGCACAACATCGAGAAGAACCTGCTGATCAAGCAGAAGATGATGGAGCTGGGTCTGCCTGAGCAGGTGTGGAACATGTACCTGACTGCATCTCCGGCGGACCTGCAGGTTCTGCCAGAACCGCTGGTAAACGGCCACAAGCCTTCCACCGGAGCGCCGTACGTGTTTGAGGAGGTGGAGCATCCACCGGAGCAGCAGGTGGAGGCGTACTGCTGAAGGAGGAGAACATTTACTCTTCCTGCTTCACAGCCGACCTGCAGAGTTAAAACCATGTTTAGCTTCTGTATCCAAGGCAACAGGCTTCTGCTTCTACCTGAGCTGAATCTGCCTTCTTTCATCCAAGAGGCGCTGAAACTGGAATTAGTGTGAGACGCACTGAGAGGAGCCGTGATGCTGGAAGTGAAGCGCCGGTCCGGAGTGAGGCTGGATCTGAGAGGAAGCAGGAACTGGATGAACCGTTCAGGACAGACACACAGCCGTCAGGGTGACCTGACCTCTGCTGCTGTTTTAATTCACATTGAAGATGCGAATAAAAGAAAAGTGTAACATGTGAGTGAAGGATCTTTTCAACATTCCCAGAGCTTCACAGGGTTCCTACGCAGAGGGGGAAAGTTTGGAAAGTATTTAGTTTGTTTCACCATTTTAGCTTTAATGTTGTCCAAACTTAACTGCAGGAAGAAACTAATAATGAATAATTCATGAAGTGATTGTTACATTTAACCACTTTCTTTATCACACCTTCAGTTTAATGTTTAGTGTTTTGTTTGCTGGCTGCAGCTCAGTCCAGCATTAAAGAAACATTTCACCACTTTTTGGACACCAGAGTTCAGCCAAGTGCAAAAATATTAAATATTCATTCAGGTAAGGAAAATGTGGAAAAATTATTCTCTGAAGGCAGATTTTTAAAACAATGTGGATTCATCAAACATGGTTGCATAACGGCTGGTTGAGTAAAAAAATTCCTTCAGTCAGAGCCAGTTTATTAGAAAACCATTGAACACAAAGCAGGTCGTTCTGTATGTCCCAAGAAGAAACGACGCCGTCTGCATGCGGTTTGCTGCAGCAAATTGAAACTAGACAGAAGAGACCACCTTTGCTTTTGCTAAGCAGAAATGCAGCTCAGAAGGTAACTACATGATGAAGATGCAAAATAAAGCAGGACTGTTATAGTCATGAGTTTAAGCTCTTCAACCAGCTGAAAAAACAGCAGAGAAAATCCAATTGCAGTGTGTTAACAGCAGCCGATCTGTGACTGTTTGGTTCCTCTTTTCATCTGTTTCTGATGGAGCAGCTGCTGCCTGGCACATTTAATCCCACTGGATGGAAACAATCCAGGTTACAGTACGCCTGCTGATCTTCTGTTTTCAGCCATGACACGATTCCACGTGCTGATCAACTCACATAATACTGTTTTCATTATGCTTGGGAAGCACGAAGAGGGATAAATATATGAAATGTTAGAATCAGACTCATGTTTTTTATAAATATATCATTAAAATGATGAAGCATCAAGCTGCAGAATGCTCTGTCAGGTCACTGAAGGAAACATCTGTGGTTATTCAGATCCTCCTTTCATGTCGATGGTTTCAGTGGCTCATATTTCCAGAGGAAGAATTTCAATAAAGTCCTGAAAAATCTGGAAAAATTAAATCTGACTGAACCATCTTCCAGGGTGGAAATAGACGGACAGCCTCTGCCCTCAGACTGCAGGACCCCCGCAGGCCTGCATGGACAGGTGGGTGTAGATGATGGATGCATGAATATGTATGCAAAAGAAAAAAAAACACAGATTATGGAAAAGGTATCTGTATTTTCAGACCTAAGCGCCTGGCTCATAGGATCCATCTATCCATTCATTTTCGGAGATAAAAACAAGAATTCTATCATATTGATATCCTTTGATTAGATAAAGGCATAAACAAACAATAAGTATTCAATTTTATACGAAGGTTTTACATATTTTGATTATTGAAAATTTTACATGGAAAAATCTAAAGTTTTCAAAAAATAAGAATGACTTTTCTGTAAAGAATTAAACTCACTTTAGTTTGTCACTTATACAAAAAACTAAATGTAAATTTATACTTCAATACTCAGTTGTTTTAATAGTCATTGTATGATAGGAAAAACAATACACCTCTGGATACAATCTTAAAAATTAAAAACAGATTTTCAATGTAATATTTTCAAATAACTTTCAGTGAATAAATACAAATCTTGTGCCTTAAAATGTTTGCATTCAAATAAATCTAGCTTAATACTGAATATCTAGACGAAGGTTAAGGGGTTTTCAGTAAGAGTAAGATATTGTCTATTATTCAGCGTTTTATTTTGTAGCATCGTTTACAACCCTTCTCTCAAACGAGAAGCTATATTCCCGCCTCCTTTGCGGTAAACTCGTTTTGATTGGCCCAAAGACCAAGCAATAACTTCCGCTAACCAATCAGCATTAAGAACCGGGAACTTGTTGATGACGTTTATCACTTGCCGGAAGAGAGGTCGCATGTGTCGAACATTTAACGTGCCGTGAAGGAGGCTCAACACCTCTGTTAGGTGATAAACAAATGCACAACTGTTCGGAAATGTGTCAGGACTGTTAGCGGAGGTGTTTGGGATCGTAAATACCACCGGTCTCGGATATTTTAATGATTAGCTTAAGTATATAGCATGAACAGTTTCCATGTGAGGCTTTGTAGGCTTCTGGTTGTGAACGGCAGAGCTGTAACTGCCGCTGCGACGGCCCCACGCTGCGATTATTCTCCTTACCGGACTGTTTTCCACTTTTCCCGGTCAATGGCGACCTCTGGGAATCAGTTCTCAGCGAAGAGGCCGCAGAAGGAGCCGCTTCGCCGGCTGAAGACCAAGGAGAGCCGAGACAAGCGGGGAGACGTTCACGGACCGTCCAACGTGTACGTTCAGGTGGTCGGTGCGGGAAGCAGGGACAGCAACGCGTCGCTTTACGTCTTCTCAGAGTACAACAGGTAGGCGCTTCACGTACTTCATATTAGATAAAAGTGTTTGTTTCAGTTTAAGTACGTTAATTAAAGAAGAACACACTCGCATTACCCGGTTCCTTCTAGTAGGTTGTAGTTTACATACAGCCAGTGAACGTTACTTATTTTGCAGTTTCTTCTGGATTTCAGAGCATTTTCCCACATTTTGAGCCACAAAGTGACCGTTCTTTAAATGATCAAACATTGCAATTAATAAATCCGTGAAAAAAGAGCATAATAACATGGTGGCTTTACTGAATTCACCCAAACGTCCCTACAGTCTGCTTTATGCAAACTTTGCATTTAAAGACTTTCTTCAACAAAGAAATCTGCTGTAAAGTGATGGTAATCTAACGGTCATGTTTTTGGACTGTGAGTGGACTCAGGTATACTCTGAGAAAACCATGCAGAAAGATCCCCGGGCCGGGATTCAAACCCACAACCTTCTTGCAGCAAAGCAACACCTTTAGCAACTGTGCAGCCCTTAAATAGATATAAAAGATATATTAAAGCAAATTAAATACATACTTGTTCTGGATTTTCTGGCAGGTCTCCGAAGATCCACATCAGTATCTTCAGTTAAACAAACTCTAACTGATCTGATCCTCACACACAAACTATATTGGATCATCTTTATGACTATTTAACCAGGCTCCAGCCTGTAGGGATGAAAACTTTCCGTCTCTGTGCTGCAGGTATCTGTTCAACTGTGGAGAAGGAACCCAGAGACTCATGCAGGAACACAAGTAAGCTGCACCTGCGTCTCATCCTGGCTGCTGGCAGAGCTAACGGCGCTAACATGGATCTGCTTCCCCCGCAGGCTGAAGGCGGCGCGGCTGGACAACATCTTCCTGACCCGACTGAGCTGGGAGAATGTGGGAGGCCTGTCAGGTCAGAGGTCAACTCTCAGCTAAAGTCACGCTCTCGTGTTAGAGTCTGGGGTTTCTTTACAAAATGTTCTGAATCAGAGCTGGGACTCAACAGCTTCCACAGAGAAGTGATTGTGAATTTCCACTCTGATTAATATTTGAGTAATTCTGTTTCCATTTTATTTATGGTTTTTGTTGTTGCTTTATTTATTGTTTTATTTTGGATACTTAAAGTATTCTTTACAAAATTAAAGGTTATTGGTCTTTGAGAGGGTAAACTTTCATTATTATTTCAATATATAAGTTGAAAATGTCAAAACAATAATATTATTGTCTATTGCAATAATTGCTGACATAATTTATCAATCAGCAGATTCAGTTTTTTGGATGTTAATACTAGTCATTTTAAATGTAAATCTGTTTTTCATTGCTTTAGTAATTACTAATTGCTTGTAATTTTTGTGCCTGTTATTAATAATATATTTACATTTTCTGAATCTGGTGCATTGCAGGGATGATATTAACCCTGAAAGAAACGGGCGTCCCGGAGTGTGTGCTCTCTGGACCTCCACAGCTTGTGAGAAACTGCAGAACATTTGACAGACGGCTGCTGTGAGGCGTCATGGAGAGGCTGACCTTCTGTCTCCCATCTTTTCATGTTTCAGAAGAACTACCTGCATGCCATCAAGTCCTTCTCTGGCCCTCTGGAGGCCATCAAGCTGTGTAGGCCTGATTCTGAGTTAACATGATGTCATGTGTTTATGGTGAGGTTGTTCATGATGTGATGTCCTCTCAGCTGTTCGACCGTACACTGAGGAGATGCACAAAGACGAAACCATGACTGTGTACCAGGTGCCCATATTTGGTAAATTCAAAGGATTTCTAAATTATTATTTCTTCAGAGTAAATTTTTTTGAAAGCATTCAGATTTTCATCTGATTTTTACTGTTTTTTTGTAGCCAAATCAGGAATAGACAGAGGAAGAAACTCACCGCAGGCTGGCAGAAGCAGCCCCAGCCACAGATCGCCAAAGAGAGGTGGACTGCAGCACACCGGAGAAGAAGAATCAGGTGCTTCCTGTTTGCTGCTTACTGCTTCCTGTTTGCTGCTGCATCAGAACTGGATCTTTAAAAGCTTTAACCAAGAAGCCTGACCCTCAGCATCCCACCACCACCATGCCTGTCAATTTCTTTAGTTTCTCTTCAGTCTTTGGCTAAAGACCAGGAGCCATTTCTGCTGCTAGTGCTAGGCTAGCAGACCGAGGTTTGGAGGACCAGAGGTCGATTAACATTCACACCTCACCGGACTTTGACTAGACGAATGGACTGGAGTTGGATTAGAGTGGACTGAACAGAACTGGTGTGAATGAACTGTTCATGTTCAGTTTCTGGTCTGAACTGTTTATTTTGTGTCTCAGGTGAAAGAAGTGCAGTGGCCAGAGACTCCTCCCTGGTGATCGCCTTCGTGTGCAAGGTCAGCACCAGAAAATGATTTATGTTTGGGAGGTTGCATGTTTGTGTCTGACATCCTTTTCTCTCCTGCAGCTTCATCCTAAGAAGGGGAACTTCTTGGTGGCTAAAGCCAAAGACCTGGGTCTGCCGGTGTGAGTCTCATGTTTTAATGTCTGACCCAAGTCAGTCCCGATTTTCCTGATTTCTTTCTAAAATGTCTCTGCAGAGGAACGGCAGAGATCGGTCCGCTCATCAGAGCTCTGAAAAACGGAGAAACCATCATGCACGACGGAAAAGAGGTGGGTCTGTTTCCCTGGCAGTAATCGGGTTACATCTCCATCGCCTGACGCTTTGCTTTGCCTCACAGATCCGGCCGGAGCAGGTCTGCACCCCCATCGACCCGGGGCCCGTCTTCCTGGTGCTGGAGTGTCCGTCCGAGGACTTCCTCCCAGCGCTGTGCTCCAACCAGCAGCTCAGACGGTAACGTCGTCCAGCCGGATCGGCTCTGAGCAGCTGCAGCCGTCTGGCTGACTGCTCTCTCCTTCCAGGTTCCAGGACGGCGGGACGGAGGATCCGGCCGTGCTGGTGGTCCACATGACTCCAGAGTCCGTCCTGAAGACGGATCAGTACAAAGAGTGGATGGAGAGGTGGGACCCGCACGGTTTAGAACCGGACCGCGTTGTTTCAGGGTCTGAGTCCGCTCCGGGTTTTTCAGGTTCCCGTCGTCAACAGAACATCTGATCCTCAACGAACACGTCAGCACGGTCCACAACGTCCGGAGCCACAAGATCCAGACGCAGCTCAACATGATCCACCCGCACATCTTCCCTCTGCTCAGAGCCGCCAGAGCAACGGTACACTTCCTGCTTCCCGTTTACTGTTTACAGCTTCCTGTTTACAGTTTACAGCTTCCCGTTTACTGCTTCCTGTTTACTGTTTACAGCTTCCTGTTTACAGCTTCCCGTTTACTGTTTACAGCTTCCTGTTTGCTGTTTACAGCTTCCCGTTTACTGTTTACAGCTTCCTGTTTACTGTTTACAGCTTCCCGTTTACTGCTTCCTGTTTACTGTTTACAACTTCCCGTTTACAGCTTCCTGTTTACTGTTTACAGCTTCCCGTTTACTGTTTACAGCTTCCCGTTTACTGCTTCCTGTTTACTGTTTACAGCTTCCCGTTTACAGCTTCCTGTTTACTAAAGTCCCATTAGCATTAGCGTCAGGCTGATTCAGTTTTTCTTCCTGCTGTCAGTTTGCATAAAAAAATCCAGATTACATTGATATAATTGGTTTGTTTTATTTTTCATTTTGCTCTTTAAAATATCAAACTTTGCACATAATCATATATTTTCTCTCTGTCTAAATTTTAAATATTAAATCAGGGCTTCTGATAATATTTTTTCTTCAGTTTAATTTCTGGCCTCCTCTGTCTACATCAATTAGAAATGAAATAGAAATCTAAAGACCAAATATCATAGATCTAATTCTCTAAGTCAAACACTGAAGGCCAGACAGAGGAACTGAATGTTTTAGAAACAAATTAATCTGATTTATCCATATTTCATTCATCAGGAGGTTTTTGTCTTGTTTTTGCTGCTTTAGTTGTTTTTTTGTCTCTGAATCTTTTTTCAAACTGATTAGAAATGAGAGCAGCTGAATCCACCAGAACAAACATTTTAATCGCTGGAGTTTCTGAATCCGTGTGTTTGTTTGACACCCAACAGGATCAGAATCAGTTATTTTATTCATTTCTATGTTCAGGAACCGCAGGCGGCCTTACACGTCCCGAACGTCCGAGCCGAGTGTCTGCTGAAGTTCCAGCTGCGACCCGTCATGGAGTGGCAGAGGTTTTCTCCCGTTTGCTCGTCTTTTCTCCACAGCGGTGATGGGATATTAAATTTTAGTCCGTTTTCATCCCGTCTCATGTGTAGAGACGCCGTTCCCTCCTGCAACACGGAGGAATTTATGAAAGAAGCTTCTGAGATTCCAAACTTCCTGGAGGAAGTGGAGAAGTGCCGGACGGCCTGTGCAGAGGGTTCAGGTGGGTCCAGGCGCGCCGAGTTGGATCAGGCTGGTTCAGAACCGAATCCAGAGTTCGGTTCTGAACAGAGTCTGCTTCCTGCTGCAGGTCCGGCTGACGGATTCCCACACGTTGTGTTTCTGGGAACCGGGTCGGCGATTCCCATGAAGACCAGGAACGTCAGCGGAACGCTGGTCAACATCAGGTAGGACAGCCTGGTGTGTGTGTGTGTGTGTGTGTGTGTGTGTGTGTGTGTGTGTGCATTATTCAGGCTGAAGACTGTGTGTGTGTAGCTCCAGTCAGTCGCTGCTGCTGGACTGTGGGGAGGGAACCTTCAGTCAGCTCTGCAGACACTACGGCGACGCCGTGGACCAGGCGCTGTCCAGGATCTCCGCCGTCTTCATCTCCCACCTCCACGCCGACCATCACACGGTGAGAACCGCAGCGCCACCTGGAGGTGAGTGTTAGCAGAGGCGTGTGCTAACCCTGACTTCCTGTTCCTCTCAGGGCCTGATAAAGCTGC